CCTTTAAGCAGCGCTCTCAATCCCCTCTCCTCACGCACCAGGAAACAAAGAGGGAAGAAAAAGTCTCTTGCCTCTTCGGCAGCTCCAGACCTTTTCCCAGACTCCCTCCCGGCTAGCCGTGGTGCACTAACCCCTTCAGGCTGTGTTCACACAGCCAACCCCAGTCCTCTCCCAGTGCTCCGACCGAAGCCCAAGCCTCAGCTCCCAGCCCCGCCTGCCTCAGCGGGGGACCAGACAAGCCTCTCGGGCTGGTGAGTGCTGGTCGGCACCAATCCTCTGTGCGGGAACCTCCCCGCTTTGCCCTCCGCACCCCTGTTGCTGTGCTCTCCTCCGAGGCTCCGAAGCTCCCCCACTCTGCCACCCGCAGTCTGCGCCCACGAAGGGGCTTCCTAGTGTGTGGAAACCTTTCCTCCTTCACAGCTCCCTCCCACTGGTTCAGGTCCCGTCCCTATTCTATTGTCTCTGTTTTTTCTTTTGCCCTACCCAGGTGCGTGGGGAGTTTCTTGCCTTTTGGGAGGTCTGAGGTCTTCTGCCAGCATTCAGTAGGTGTTCTGTAGGAGTTGTTCCACGTGTAGATGTATTTCTGGTGTATCTGTGGGGAGGAAGGTGATCTCCGCGTCTTACTCTTACGCCATCTTCCCCTCGTCCAATCATGGCCATTCTGACAGTTGTGAGGTGGTACCTCATTGTACTTTTGATTTGAATTTCTCTAATAATTAGCGATTTTGAGCATCTTTTTTAAAAAAATTTATTGGGACTTCCCTGGTGGTGTAGTGGTTAGGAATCCACCTGCCAGTGCAGGGGACACAGGTTCAAGCCCTGTCTGGGAAGATCCCACATGCCGCAGAGCAACTAAGCCCATGCACCACAACTACTAAGCCTGCGCTCTAGAGCCCGTGAGCCACAACTACTGAGCCCGCGTGCCACAACTACTGAAGCCCGTGCGCCTAGAGCCCATGCTCCGCAACAAGAGAAGCCACCACAATGAGAAGCCCGCACACCACAATGAAGTGTAGCCCCTGCTCGCCACAACTAGAGAAAGCCTGTGCATAGCAATGAAGACCCAAACGCAGCCAAAAATACATTTATTAAAAAAAATTTTTATTGGAGTATAGTTGATATACAGTTGTGTTAGTTTCAGGTGTACAGCAAAGTGATTCAGTTATGCATATACATATATTCATTCTTTTTCGGATTCTTTTCTCATATAGCTTATCACAGAATATTGAGTAGAGTTCCCTGTGGTGTACCGTAGGTCCCCATTGGTCATCTATCTTATATGTGTGTGTGTTCATCCCAAGCTCCTGATTTATCCCTCCCCACCATGTTTCCCCTTTGGTAACCATAAGTTTGTTTTTGATATCTATAAGTCTGCTTCTGTTTTGTAAATAAGAACATTTGTATCTTTTTTTAAATTAAATTTCACATATGAATGATATCATGTGAAATTTATCTGTCTGACTTCTTCACTTAGTATAATAATCTCTATCTAGGTCCAGACATGTTGCTGCAAATGGCATTATTTTGTTGTTTTTTATGGCCGAGTAATATTCCATTGTATATATGTACCACATCTTCTTTATCCACCTCTCTGTTGATGGACATTTAGGTTGCTTCCATGCCTTGGCTATTGTGCATAGTGCTGCAGTGTACACGGGGGTGCATGTATCCTTTCAGATTATGGTTTTCTCTGGATATATGCCCAGGAGTGAGATTGCTGGATCATATGGTAGCTCTATTTTAAGTTTTTAAAGGAGTCTCCATACTGTTCTCCATAGTGGTTGTACCAATTTACAGTCCCACCAACAGTGTAGGAGGATTCCCTGTTTCTCCATCTTGTTTACCCTTTCAAATAACCAGCTCTTGGTTTTATTGATTTTTAGAATTTTTTAAAAATTTCTATTTTATTTATTTCCTCTCTGATCTTTATTATTTCCTTCCTTCTGCTGACTTTTTACAGGGTATTTAATTTTTTTTAAATTTATTTATTTAATTAATTTATTTATTGTTGGCTGTGTTGGGTCTTCGTTGCTGTGCGCGGGCTTTCTCTAATTGCGGTAAGCAGGGGCTACTCTTTGTTGCGGTGCGCAGGCTTCTCATTATGGTGGCTTCTCTTATTGCAGAGCACGGGCTCTAGGCACGCAGGCTTCAGTAGTTGTGGCTTATGGGGCCTAGAGCGCAAGCTCAGTAGTTGTGGCTCATGGGCTTAGTTGCTCCGCAGCATGTGGGATCTTCCCGGGCCAGGGGTTGAACCCATGTCCCCTGTACTGGCAGGCAGATTCTTAACCAGGGAAGCCCCTGAAGGGTATTTTAAATTGAGAAATTTCACAGTGAATTTCAGGTTTCTGGCATCTCTTAAGGGAACCCTGGGGCTTTGTGATCAGATCAAGGTTGAACTGCTGAGTTTGACCTAGCTCTTTGGAGCCTACCGCCTCTGTAGGGAGACACTACTTATTACCAACTGGCTTAAGTCAGTTTTTACAGTGTGGGTCAGAATTCCACACAGCTCTGGTCTTTACCAGCAGTGGGACCTCAGCAAATTGCTTCATTCAGGGATCACAGACTGGCATCCAGGGGCTGTGTCCGGCCAACAGACCTGTTTGGTTTGGCCTGGATCCCAGGGTCTTTTAAACTGACAAATTTCATAGTAAAATTTGAGTTTCTGGGTTCTCTTAAGGAATGGGAAGATGTGGCTCTGTGGGGCCCACATTCCCACATAGAAGATCAGGGGACCCAGGGGTCCAACCTCCTACCCCAGCCGAGACTTGGGCTCCCCAGTTTGCTTCCTGTGTTGACAGGTTCAGCACAGCCTGTCTTACCTCCCTTGGCCTTCTCACTTGTGTCTCTTTCTTGGCCCCTGTAAGCATTTGAGTTTGTGACCTTGGGTTTAACCTCTCTGTGCCTCAGTTAACTCATCTTAAAAAGAAAAAAATGCACATTGAAAACATGCTGAGTGAAAGAAGCCAGTCGCAAAAGGCCATGTATTGTATGATTTCACTTATATGAAATGCCTAGAATAGGCAAATCCACAGAGACAGGAAGTAGAGTAGTGGTTGCCTAGGGCTTAGGGAAGGGGATTGGGGGATATGGATAGTGACTACTAATGAGGTAATCTTTCTGGGATGATGAAAATGTCGTAAAATTGACTGTGGCGACAGTTGCACAACTTTGTGAACATACTAAAACCCACTGAATTGTACACGTGAATTTATGGCATGTGAATAATATCTCAATTTTAAAAAATAAGAGTGCCTGTAGGTTGTGTTACAGTTGAGGGAAGCACTTATTCAGTGGTCACAGTTACTGTCACCTGAGATCCAAACATGCCTCCTGCTGTCTCCTTTACAGTTTTTCCACTGATTATACCCAGTGGATGCTTAGTATATTTTGTTACTTAACTCACTCTTGGGCTTTTTCAGAAGCTCTTGGGCCTTTCCTCAGAGGCAGATGTTCCGCTTTTCCTGTTCAGTTATTGGAGACTAGTGAGCAAGTGGAAACCACATTACTTAAATACTCAGCAAAGCAGATGGAGGAGATGTTTACCTGCCAGCTTCTGTTTGGGAAATCACTGCCTGGATATGTTGCCCGATTACAGCATGTCACATACAGAACTGAGGTGGATCATTGGACTTGCCAGGGTAATAAAGGCAGCCCAAAGCCCAGGCTGAGATTTTTACAGCACAGGGACAAACACAACTCTGGATTATCTTTCTGTCCTACTTGGAGCAAGGAGCAAAGCAGGTTCTCAGTCAACAGTTAATGAATGAATATGATCGTGTATGCTGTGTTTAAGATCACAGTTTGTCTGATTGTGACTTTGCACTAATACTGTTACATGAGTATATGCAGTGCAGAACACATTGCATGCATTACCTTATGTAATTCTCTAAAAACAGTGCAAAGTCACAGCCAAGGCTGTCTCCGCTAAAGACACAAAAATGTGCATGCAGTGGCTGAAACCTCTGCCACCTCCTGGCCGGGCCATTTGGACATCAACACATGAAATGAGATAGGGCTAAACGAAATAATGCATGTAAAGTGCCTGGCACCCAGTAGGCATCCAACAGGTGGGAGCTTTGATGTTTGAAGAGAGGATAATGTAACATGGTAGATTTCAGACCTGGTGTCAGAAAAATCTCGGTTTGATTTCTGTACCTCCCATCCATAAGTTGTGTGACCTTGTATGTTTCGTAACAGCTCTGAGCCTCATTTCCCCCCATCTGTAAAATGGGTATTATAGTACCTAGCTCCGTGGCTTATTTTAAGGTTTAAATGAGATAACACGTGTAAAGCATCCACCACATTACCTAGCATGTAGTAAGTGCTCAGGAAATGGTTACTTCTTTCCTGCCTTAATGGTAGAAAACCAGCCCTAGACCTTCAACATCTCAAGTATGTACCTCATCTGTATGTACACCCGTGTGTGGTGGAGGAATGCTTCAGAAATGTCTAACAAACACTAGACAGTGGCAAAAATGCATGGAGAAAGCTGCACTTCAGTTGGGGCCTGAGTTCTGCACAAGGGAAGTACCCTCTGTAATTGGGTGTGTGCACTTTGCAGCTGACGTGCTTTAAGAAGATGGGCGGGAGGAACTGGTGTACAGTTGAGGGGGCCTGGGCTTTGTAGGTGCCAAGGTTCAGATCCTCTGTGACCTCCAGAAAGGGACTTGGTTTCCCTGAGGCTCTATTTCAAATCTAAATGATGAGATGATAATAACTAACTACAGAAGGAGGTTGCTGTGAGGGATAACCAACCCCTGGAATACTTAGAGTGTGTTCCTGGGAAGTGGTCAGCTCCCCAGTCCTCATGCAGCCTGTGGTTGTCCCCGGGCTGCGTTACAGAGGCCGAGGGGCCCAGTGCGGGGCTGTGGTTTTGTTGCAAGAAAGAAAGTGGGGCGCAAGAAGATGGTCACATCCCAGGTCTCAGGTGAGTCCCTGGGACGGCCGCCGACTGTGGGTTCTTGTCTTCATGCAGGAAAGAATTCAAGAGCGAGCCATAGTAAACTGAAAGAAGGTTTATTCAGGGAGATACACACTCCATAGACAGAGTGTGAGCCATCTCGGAAGGTGAGAGAGGCCCCAGGGTATGGGATTGTCAGTTTTTATAGGGGTGGGTAATTTCATAGGCTAATGAGAGGCTTATTCCAGGAATGGAGCCACCGCCCACTTCTGGCCTTTTACTGTCCGCCTCGGAATTGACATGGCGCCTGTGGGTGTGTCATTTAGCTTGCTGATGTGTTACAGTGAAGCTGTACTGAGGCTCAAGGTTAGTAGAAGTCAGTCATCTGCCATCTTGAACCTAGCTGTTTCTAACCAGTTTATGTCGTGTCCTCAATGGCTATGGCATTCTTGTAAAGGTTGTGCCCTGCCCCGTTCCTGTCTCATTTGTGTTGCTGAGACGAGGCCCCAGGTTCTCCTTGGGTGAAAGACACATCCTGGCCTGTCTGTGGCTCCTTCGCAATCAGGGACAAGGTAGTCGGTGTGGCACTTGGTGAAGTTGAGAGCAGGGTAGAGAGCTTGGAGTTGGCCAGCATTGGGCGTTGTGCCTCCTGGGGAATGGGTGTCGCTGCCATCCTGCGACACCTCTGACTAGTTGAGAATGGAGGCTCTGAGCGATCTCTAGAGGATACTTCGTCAGCCAGAGTTTTTAGAGAAATGAAGCAGAAGCCGATCTCTTCTCTGGGACATAGAACAGCGATGCGTGTGACCCTAACGTCAGCAAAGGTCACCGGGACTTGTGATCTGGGCCAGATATTAACTTCAGAACTAGTTGAGATCCCCCAGCTGTGGCTCACAACGTGGAGATGAAAGAGGAGACGGGGTGTTCTTTTGAAGAGACACTAGCCTGGAACTGGGGACGCCCGGATTTCAAACTTCACTTCCTCTGCTTCCCTTTGTAGTTGCTTTTTCTCTCTGCCTGTGCCCTGTGGAGAGACCAGGTCCTGCTGACGGGGGCTCTTTGGGGCACCCCCAAGGGGTTGGTTCAGCCCTAGGCAAACGCATGTCAAGTCACATCCTGGCATCGGCATCTGTCCCCAGCCACGGCCCTGGGGACCTGGTCCTTCTCAGTGTGCGTTTTGAGATCCTGGTAGTGGTGCCCTTTGTTCCTCCTAACTTGAATAGTAAACTAGGGGTTAGGCCCGTCCAAGTACAGTTCTGATTTACCCAACAGGTTAGGTGTAGATGAGCAGGCCACCCCTTGTCACCAGTACAGCAGCGTGGGGCTTTGCCCGTGTTTCCCTACAGCTTGCCCTGCGGCCCCGCCTGCCCGCACAGATGGGTCCCTGGGCAGACGCTTACTGATTCCTCACTTACTGTGTGGGGAGCTCTAGACGCGGGCAGAGGGCTGGCGCTCAAGAGGCAGAGAATCGTGGCACCAGTCTGTCCTCAGGGACTCTGGCCTGGAGCTGTGGGGCTAGAAACATGAAACACGTGAGAAAAAACCCGTGACATTCCATGGTGCAGTGCTGGGCACAGACTGCGGGGTGGCCGAGTCCTTCAGCGTTCAGAGGAGTGGTGGTCCTTCCTGGGACGGTCGGGAAAAGCAGGGGGCTGGATGTGAACTGGACTTAAGGCTGGCTAGGATGTGGACGGGAGCGGGAGCTTCCCCATAGAGTGGAATGGACAGGAAGTGTCCAAGGAGTAGCATAGCAGGGCCCAGTAAGAAGCCCTTACTGGAGAGGAAAGTTGTGCTGGGCAGCTGAGCAGTGAGACTACAGAGGTCAGCCGGCCCTGTCTTGATCACCCTGACTGTCAGGTAGAGAGCGTGGGCTCGGGTCGTGGGACAGGTCTTCCTGCTGTGGCCCCAGGGGTGACCCACAGGGCCAGGCACAGTGCTCTGAGAACTGGTGGTTTCGGTGAGAACATGTTCTCAGGGTTTCCTTCTACAGGGAACCACTGTTTGTCATTGTCTCGCTCTCCTGGACACTGATAATATTCTTCCTCCAAGAGCAGATAGAGACTTGGGGTTCCAGGCCCTCGGGAACTGAATGGACCATTGTATTTGTAGTGGCCTGGGGTGCCCTGAGTTGCGTCCTGGTAAGATTCGGGGTGGGGGGACCTTGCAGCTGGTGTAGAGCGAACGGGAATGTCAGGGGGTGCTGAACACAGATATTCCCCTTGCCCATCTCCTCCCCCTTCAGGAGACCCTGTTACACTTGACCGCTGTCACCCGTCGTTAGTGCCCCATTCCTCACACTCTCCCACCATTTGGTCTCTGTCAGCCTTTGCAGTCTTCAGAGTTCCCTAAACGCTGTTCGAATCCCTACCACCCACCGCTGCAGATCACTCGTACCTTCCGTGGCTGCTCACGGCCACCAGAAGCAAAGGCCACTTCCTTTGCCAAGCACGTGAGTGGGCGCAGCCTCTCTGGCCCTGTCACCCACGTCTCCTCCACCTGTGTCCTTTGTGCTGCCAATCCAAGTGCCTCTCTCCTTCCTCTGAGCCTTTGTTCATGCTGTTCCCTCTGTCCCGGCTTCCTCACCCTGAATGAACACCTACTGATCTTTCAGAACCCCTTTCAAAAGCTGACCCTCATGAAGCCACACCTCACTCCCTCCCCACGAAAGCTGCCGCTTGTGCTCTTTCTCGCCTGCCCCCTCCTCACCTTGCACTGTCCTCACCAGATTTTTTTTCTCTGTTTTGCATGAAAGTCCTTGAGGCCTCTCTTGTTTCCCCTCCACGGGATTCTGGCAGAGAGCCCCTCAGGGGCAGGGAATGCATCCCCTTTGCTGTCTCTCAAGTGGGGAGGAGGGCCCTTTCCGGTGGCTCAGGGACCTTTTGTGACCTGAAACAAGGAGACAGGCGAGGAGGTGGTTCCAGGACGGGCTGCCCTGCTGGCAGGGCTGGGTCTTTGCTGCCCTGCTGGAGCCTCATGAATGTCGTTACTCCCACTCTCAGGGCTACTCTAACACCGACAGAGCAGAAACACACACGGCCTGGCTTCCCCAGGGGCATCGCAGTCAGAGTCCCCGGGCAGGAGGGGAGGCACAGCTGCTTGCAGCAGCTTTGGTGATCCCCACATCCTGGACTCCTCAAGAACAAGGGGACACAAGATCTAGGTCTCTGTGGTTAGGAAACAGGCGTGGAAAACTCAGGCTAGAAAAAAGTCATTCTAGGTTTTTCAGACTGTATCACCAATGCTGTAGGGAGTGTGAAATGTCAAACCCAGTCTCTTAGGATGATAAAAGAAAAAAGTTTGCTGCTGCATTGGCTGGGAATCGAACCCAGGCCTCCCGCGTGGCAGGCGAGAATTCTACCACTGAACCACCAGTGCTCCAGCTGTGAACAGCTGTGTGAGCACCTCCCTTTAACCCCAGTCGTCTTGTCTGTACACTGATTCACAGAATGGAAGGCCACATCAGCACAGCTGCAACGGCAGAGGCTTAGGCTTCAGAGCAGGAGAGAAGGCTGGAGGAGGCTGTGTGTGTGCGCGCACAAGCGCGCATGTGTGTATGTGTGTGCGTTACGTGTGTGCGTGAGAAGTTGATTTGCCTTCAGACGTCAGGACAGGAAGTAGAGTTCAAGTCGTTCCTTCTCAGTAGCAAAAAGCCCACTGAGACTCTGGGGACTTCCTCCTCTCTCAAGTGTGGGTCCTCCCATTCCACATTCACGTGGTGTGTTGAGCTGTTTTACAGCTCACAGGCTTCAGCACAGCTTCCTGCTGGAGACTGGCCAAGGCTGAGGGGGTGCAGCAGGAGTCCCCTTACCGGGGGAAGGGTCCCGCAGCCAGTGGTGCCTCTGTGGAGAAGCCAGCTGCTGTTCGTGCTCACGAAGCAGGGAAGTGCGCTCGGAGATTCGCAGCACCCTTGGCTGCTGCAGGCTGGGCGTGACTGAGGAGCTGGATCCTGCAGCAGGATCTCTGGGGGAGCTTGCCAGGAAGAGGCCAAAAAGCAGCACTGCATTGGCCGGGAATCGAACCCGGGCCTCCCGCGTGGCAGGCGAGAATTCTACCACTGAACCACCAATGCTCTGGCTGTTCTCTGGCACACCTGCAGGGCTTTTCTCAAGAGGCCGTGTCTGTCATGATAGTCAGAGAGCTCTGACACATCACTGGGCGTCGTCTGGCTGGTTTGTTCTGTCTGAGAATACCGCGGGTTTCTGTAGAGCCATCCGTGCTGTGCCTTATTACACTGCTTAGGGAGGGGGCGCTCATGGAACTGGCTTCCTCCCGAGGCCCTTGGTTCATCCACAGCCCTCAGCCCCCTGGGGTGGGCTTGGTGGAATCACACCCTATAAAGATCAAAGCAAGAGGGCCCTCACAGACCACCTGCATAGCCCCTTCCTGGAATCCCTGTTTCTGCTCCCACATCCGCCAGCTCAGGAGTCAGGCCTGTTTGATTCACCTGTGGCCACAGCCCCAGGCACAGAATAGATGCCCCCTACGACTTGCGGGATTGAATCTTTATCAAGCCCTGTAATCCCCATTGAACAGCCTTTTTACAGGAGTGGTCACAGCCTCACAGGACAGCACATTTAGTTAAACAACGCTAATTACTAGCAGGTTCCTGACACTGATCTGGAACCGCACAAACTAATTAATACCTTTTGGACTTGACTGTCCTTAAAATTCTTTGAGCCAGCTTGAGACCCCCATTTATGCCATAGGCGAGCAGTGTACCTGCTGTGATGGGCAGAGCAATTAGGCAATGAGTCCAGGCAACTACTTTGAAAAGTCTGTGATCTCTAGGCCTCCCTCGTCACACCTTCAGCTGCTGCATGGGTCCTAGTCCCTCCCACCCGATGATGAGACAGTCTCCCCCTTCGCATCCATCTCACAGCTTTTTTTTTTTTGGAGTATAATTGCTTTACAATGTTTGTTAGTTTCTTCTGTACAATGAAGTGAATCAGCTGTATGTATACCTATATCCCCTCCTTCTTGGCTCTCCCTCCCCCCCCCCCCCCCCCCCACCTGTCTAGGTCACCACAGAGCACCGAGCTGAGCTCCCTGTGCTATACAGCAGGTTCCCACTAGCTATTTTACACATGGTAGTGTATTTATGTCAAACCTTATCTCCCAATTTATCCCACCCTCCCCTTCCCCCACTACGTCCACATGTCCATTCTCTACATCTCCGTCTCTATTCCGGCCCTGCAAATAGGTTCATCTGTGCCATTTTTCTAGATTCCACATATATGCATTAATATTTGGTTTTGTTTTTCTGACTTCACTCTGTGTGACAGAGTCTAGGTCCATCCACGTGTCTACACATGACCCAATTTCGTTCCTTTTTATGGCTGAGTAATATTCCATTGTATATATGTACCACATCTTTATCAATTCTTCTGCAGATGGATCTTTAGGTTGTTTTCATGTCCTGGCTATTGTAAATAGTGCTGCAATGAACATTGGGGTACATGTATCTTTTTGAATTATGCTCTTTTCAGGGTACATGCCCAGTAGTGGGACTGCTGGGTCATATGGTATTTCTATTTTTAGTTTTTTAAGGAACCTCCATACTGTTTTCCATAGTGGCTGTATCAATTTACATTCCCACCAACAGTGTGAGAGGGTTCCCTTTTCTCCACACCCTCTCCAGCATTGTTTGTAGATCTTTTGATAATGGCCATTCTGACTGGTGTGAGGTGATACCTCATTGCAGTTTTGATTTGCATTTCTCTAATAATTAGTGATGTTGAGCATCTTTTCATGTGTCTCTTCGCCATATGTATGTCTTCTTTGGAGAAATGTCTATTTAGGTCTTCCACCCATTTTTTGCTTGGGTTGTTTTTTTGATATTGAGCTGCATGAGCTGTTTATACGTTTTGGAGATTAATCCTTTGTCAGTTACTTTGTTTGCAAATATTTTCTCCCATTCTGAGGATTGTCTTTTCGTCTTGTTTATGGTTTCCTTCGCTGTGCAGAAGCTTTTAATTAGTTCCCATTTGTTTATTTTTGTCTTTATTTACATTACTCTAGGAGGTGGATCAAAAAAGACCTTGCTGGGGCTTCCCTGGTGGCACAGTGGTTGAGAGTCCACCTGCCGATGCATGGGACACAGGTTCGTGCCCCGATCCGGGAGGGTCCTGCGGCTGGGCCCGTGGGCTGTGGCTGCTGGGCCTGCGTGTTTGGAGCAGCAGGAGAGGCCACAGCAGTGAGAGGCCTGTGTACCGCAAAACAAAAAAAAAAAAAAATCCTGCTGTGATTTATATCAGATAATGTTCTGCCTTTGTTTTCCTCCTAGAGTTTCATAGTGTCCAGTCTTACATTTAGGTCTTTAATCCATTTTGAGTTTGTGTATGGTGTTAGGGAATGTTATCATTTCATTCTTTTACTGGTAGTTGTCCAGTTTGCCCAGCACCACTTATTGAAGAGGCTGTGTTTTCTCCTTTGTATATTCTTGCCTCCTTTGTCATAGATTAGGTGACCATAGGTGCATGGCTTTATCTCTGGGCTTTCTATCCTGTACCATTGATCTACATTTCTGTTTTTGTGCCAGTACCATACTCTCTTGATTACTGTAGCTTTGTAGTATAGTTTGAGGTCTGGAAGCCTGATTCCTCCAGCTCTGTTTTTCTTTCTTAAGATTGCTTTGGCTATTCAGGGTCTTTTGTGTTTCCATACGAATTGTAAAATATTTTCTTATTCTGTGAAAAATGCCATTGGTAATTTGATAGGGATTGCATTGACCCTACAGAGTGCTTTGCATAGTATAGTTATTTTCACAATATTGATTCTTCCAATCCAAGAACATGATATATTTCTTCATCTGTTTGTGTCATCTTTGATTTCTTTCATCAGTGTTTTATAGTTTTCTGAGTACAGATCTTTTGCCTCCTTAGGTAGGTTTATTCATAGGTATTTTATTCTTGTTGTGATGGTAAATGGGACTGTTTCCTTAATTTCTCTTTCTAATCTTTCATTGTTAGTGTATAGGAATGCAAGAGATTTCTGTATATTCATTTTGTATCCTGCAACTTTACCAGATTCATTGATTTGTTCTCATAGTTTTCTGGTGGCATCTTTAAGATTTTCTAGGTATAGTATAATGCCATCTACAAACACTTCTTCTTTTCCAATTTGTATTCCTTTGTTTCTTTTTCTTCTCTGATTGCCATGGCCAGGACTCCCAAAACTGTGGAATAATAGTGGTGAGAGTGGACATCCTTGTCTTGTTCCTGATCTTAGAGGAAATGCTTTCAATTGTTCACCACTGAGAATGATGTTATTATGTTGAGGTGGGTTCCTTCTGTGCCCACTTCCTGGAGAACTTTTATCATAAGTGGGTGTTGAATTTTGCCAAAAGCTTTTTCTGCACCTAATGAGATGATCATGGGGTTTTTCTTAAAACACTCTGACCACCTCTTCAAAACCCATGAGCAGCTTCCCTGTTACCCACGATGTGAGATCCCTTCTCCTGAATCTGAGCTGCTTGGGCCAGCTCATCCCACTTGATTTCCTGCTGTTCTCTGGACCCCAGGCAAATTTGGTTATTTTTCTCTCCTTGCCTTTGCCCACACATTTCCTCCTGCCCAGAACACCTGCTTCCTTCTCTCAGGGTCCCTGCCTCCTTCTCTCAGGGTCCCTGCCTCCTCTGAGGTCCAGCTCAGTTCCCACTCCTGGGAAGATGTCCCTGACCCCCAGGCTGCAGCTCCCCAGTGGTTATCTGGGCCCCTCATGCCACCATTGGCCCTCATGAGGCTTCTCACTGCAGAGATGCTGTGAGCCTCCGAAGGGCAGGGTGTCTTCACGTCCACTGGGCTCTGAAAGGAGACCCTGGTGCCTGACAGAGCTGGGTCTCCCTGTGCTCCCCTCCACTCGGGCAGGGCCTGCCTTGGGAGCATCCCCCCAGGGTGACCACAGGCGCTGCCTCCCTCAGACCCCTCTCCCTGCTAGCATCACCCCCCAGGTGGGCACCTTGCAGGCATCTCTACCCTTCCTGCCCTCTCCCTGCCGCTTCCCACTGCCTCAGCTGTATTTCAGGCCTCCCTTCCTGACCCTGATAGCTGCAGTGTTCTCCCTTGGAGATATTGCAGTCTCCCTCTGTCAAACCAGGCCACCCCCACCCGAGGCAGCCTCTCTGGTCAAAACATAGACATAAGTATGTCACCCCATTGCTGGAAACCTTTCACCAGCTCGTCTTTTTCTTTAACTGTCCCCAGCCACCCCTTCCACACACCAGACTCCTCACCCTTCCCTAAATATAGCGTGTCTTTTCGGGGCCCCCGCCTTTAGCCAGGCTCTTCCCTGTGCCTGAGGTTCCCTGCCTTCCTTTCTTTACCTGGAAAAGTCCTGGTAATGGTACTAAGATCTGACTCAGATAGCACTTCCCCGTCAGCCCAGGGAGACTTACCTGCGGCGTTCTTGCTTCTGTGGTGTTGCTTGTGTCATGTTGCTACACATACTTGTTTGTTTGTGGATCTTCCCTGTTGGATGTAGGCCCAGTTCAGCACCGTCCCTAGAAACAATGACACAGACACAGAGAACCACTTGGGTGCATGAACTGCTTGCAACACTGAGCAAGTATTGAATGAAGACGGTGGATCACTACAGTTTTGGGGCCCCAGCAGGACATTCACTTGCATTCTCTCAGATTCCCAGAAGTGACACTGTTCCCCGCTGTTCTTCATTCCGTCATAGACCAAGGGAAGTGGAGACCCAGAAAAGGGGAAGGACCATGACCCAGCCAACGCCTCCCAGTCAGCAGCAGAACTGGGAAAGCCCTGCCCTGAGACGCCTGACTCCCAATTCCTCTTTCTAAACAGGTCATCTCCCTCCCTCACCCCAGCCCCGGGCCCCAGAGCCGGCAGCAGCAGGAGCAGCCTGATCCCGCTGGTCCTGCAGCCCCTCTCTGCTCCCTCTCCAGGCTGGTCCGGGAGTTCGTGGCCCAGAACAACACCGTGCAGATCAAGAACATGATCCAGACGCTGTCTCGGGAATTTGCCCTGTCCCAGCACCCCCCACGGCCGGAAAGGGGGCCTCATTGGCCTGGCCGCCTGCTCCATCGCGCTGGGCAAGGTGAGCCCTTCTCCTGGATGGACGTACACATCAGCCAGGACCTTGACCCTGACCCCTGAGCCCCAGCAGGGTGTTGCAGACTTGTGATTTCTTTATTGCCATTCTCTCCACATCTCAGACCTCAAGGCTGGCTCTGCGGCCTTGCACCCTGGGTCTTGATGCTCTTGGTAATTTAAAAAAAATGTTTCACTTACAGTTAATGGAATAGTGTACAGCTCTATGATGAGAGTATATGATGAGAGTATAGAGTTATGTCAACAGCAGGATCAAAATACAGAACCATTCTGTCCCCCTAATGTCCCCTCATGCTGACCCCACCCTGCCCCCAGTGACAGGGGCAGTTTATGCTCAGCTCACCAGGGCATTCGAGCCAGACCACAGAGATGCAGGGTTTTGCCTTTTGATTAGTTCTCTCGACCTTGATTCCTGCTTTCAGTGCATCCTTTCTGCTGGTCCTTCGGCCTGTGTGAGGAGGGATGCTCCGGGGGCCTCTCCTGCCTGACTCAGGCTCCGTCATCTTCCTCTGTGTCCGCCTGACCCCTGGAGCCAGCCCGGGCCAGGGATTCAGCCAGGTCAGGCAGCCCCCGCCCCCAGCAGGCAGCTCTCATGCCTTTGACCCACAGGACATCGTGACGGAGAGCAACAAGTTCGACCTGGTGGGCTTCATCCCCTTGTTGCGGGAGAGGATTTATTCCAACAACCAGTATGCCCGGCAGTTCATCATCTCCTGGGTAAGGTCCGGCCCCGCGACACTCCTTCTCCAGCTGTAAGGAGCCTCTAGTTGAGTGAGGTCTGCTCTCTGGCTCACCTGGGCACTTTCTGTGGCTGCCGGGATGCCTCACTGTTATCCCTCTAGGAGCCAATGACACCAGATAATCCGAAAACACATGTATTCAGCTTTGCCCCCAAAGCCCATCACGTTTGCCTCTGAAGAGGATGTGGTTCCTTCCTTGTCTCCGGAAACACCCAGATTTACCTTTGAAGCCAGCTGTGCTCTTCCAGCTGTCACACCTCTTCTAGCCTTGCCCACCTTTCCCATGGGTTCCCCTCCCGCACCCCCTGCCCCGCCCCCAGGCATCTGAACTGCCCTGGGGTTAAATTGCCGTTTCCCTGCCCATTGAACAGAAACAACAGCTACTAGCACCCGCTCCCCCGTGGGACACCCGCAGTGCCCTGAAAAGGTGCCTCAGCAGGGCCCCTTCTTGCTGGGCAGTCCGGAGGATGGGCGAGGAGATGCAGGTTCTCTGGCTGGTGACTTTCCCTGATGGTTTCCTCCCCTGGGGCAGATCCTGGTTCTGGAGTCCGTGCCAGACATTAACCTGCTGGATTATTTGCCGGAGATCCTGGATGGACTCTTCCAGATCCTGGGCGACAACGGCAAAGAGATTCGGAAAACGTGAGTGGAGGAGGAGAGGGGCAGGCGGCTGCAGGGGCCCCTCGGCATGTACGCGTACCCCACACCCAACAGACAGGCGGCGGCAGGAGAGCACGAAACTCACCGTCCTCTTCCTGGCTCGTGTGCTTCCTGCTTTGAGGAGCTAGGAGATCATCCACCCCCAGCCTCGGAAAAATGTCCATCTGACAAGTGTGTCCCACAGAGCACAGCAGAAATGGCACCACTGGTGGAGGCTCCTCTGGCTCTGGCTGCATGAGCTGTCTCCTTTCTCCTTTGCTCATTGGTAGGTGTGAGGTGGTCCTTGGAGAATTCTTGAAGGAAATTAAAAAGAACCCCTCCAGTGTTAAGTTTGCTGAGATGGCCAACATCCTGGTGATCCACTGCCAGACCACAGGTGAGCGTGTAAAGGCCCCAAGGCCACCACCACCTCCTCAGAAGTACCTTTCTGTCTCCCCATCTCAGAGAGAGTCCTCCTGGGAGTGTGAATCAATGTGACAGTGGGTCCTGGAGTGGTGGGTCCTTGTGGGAGAGATTCCAATTCTCTAAGAAAGGCATAACTAACCAAGTTCAGGAATTAAAAATGGGGGACCTTACTATATATCCTAATTCATGATTTAGCAATCCATAGTAATACTAACAGTGTTCTCCTTATGGCATAACTTTTTACTATATAAACAATATATGATGCTTGAGTATATAATTTAGAAAAACAGATACCAAAATAAAATACAGTCCCACAGCTTAGGCAAAAGTGTTCCTCAATTCTTATAGAATGTAAACTACAAAACATTGAAAAATTAGAGAATACCAACATAAATGTAAAAGACATCCCACATTTATGGATTAGATGACTTAAGATGACAGTACTTCCCAAATTGATCTCCATATTCAATTCAGTCGATATCAAAATAACAGCTGCATTTTTTTCAGAAATGTTTCAGATCCTAAAATTCATATGGAAATGCAAAGGATCCAGAATAGGCAAAACTACCTTTCAAAAGAGGAAAAAAATTGGAAAATTCATACGTCCCAATTTCAGAACTTACTAAAAGCTACAGTAATAGATGGATAGATCAAACAGAACTGAGAATCCATAAATAAACCTTTACATTTATGGTCAGATATTTTTCTTAAGACGTGCCAAAACAATTCAGTGGGGGAAATTAGTCTTTTCAACAAATAGCACTGGAACAACTGGATACCTGCATGCAGAAAAATGAAGTTGGACCCCCTCCTGCCACCATACACACACAAAGAAAAACTCCAAATAGATCACAAGCCTAAGTACTATATTTAGAACTATATAATTCTATTTAGGGGTAAATCTTTATGACTTTTGGCTGAGCGATGGCTTCTAAAATATGACAGCAAAAGCACATGGGACAAGACAAAAGGAAAAAATAGGTATTTGGAGATTCATCAAAATTAAAAACTTTTATGCTTCAAAAGACACTATCAAGGGACTTCCCTGGTGGTCCAGTGGTTAAGACACCATGCTTCCACTGCAGGGGGCACGGGTTTGATCCCTGGTCCAGGAACTAAGATCCCACATGCCACACTGCATAGCCAAAAAACAAGGAAAAAAGCAAAAGACACTATCAAGAAAGTGAAAAGACAGTTCCACAAAAGGGAAGAGAGTATTTGTAAATCATATATCTGATATGGGGCTTGTATCTAGAATATATAAAGAACTCTCATTACTCAGTTTTTAAAAATGAGATCTGAATAAACATTTCTCGAGAGAAGATATACAGATGGCCAAAAAGCACATAAAAAGGTGCTCAACATCCTTAGCCATCATGGAAATGCAAATCAAAGATACTGTGACATACCACTTTACATCCATTAGTATTAGTATCAATGGCAAGTATCAAATAAAATAAAAAGGAAAATAACATGTTGGCAAGAACGTGGGGTAATTAGAAACCTTATACACTGCTGGTGGGAATGTAAAATGGGACAGCTGCTTTGGAAAACAGTCTGGCAGTTCCTCAAAAAAAAAACATTTGACCCAGCAACTCCACTCCTAGGTATATATCCAGGAGAAATGAAAACCTATGTCCACGCAAAACCTTTTACATGAATGTTCATAACAACGTTATTCGTAATAGCCAAAAAGTAGAAGCTACCCAGACTTCTGTCAACTGATAGAATGGATGAGTAAAATGTGATATATGCCTATAACTAGGTATTATTTTACCTTTAATCCTGTGAAGGACCTGATCAGATTGGTTTCTTATAAAGATTTACTATAGGATCAATGCAGATAATCAGTTGCGGGGGTGGACAGGGAGACACGTAGAATGGAGACAGGAGGGACATCCGGAGATTGCTGCTATGTCCCAAAGATGCCTGAACTAAGGTAGCAGCAGTGTGATAGGAAAAGATGGGACAAATTTGAGAGATGTTGTCTAGAATTAATGGGCCTCAGCAAGTAATGGAGGACAAAAGAAAAGGGAACGAGGGGAGTCACAGCAAGCTCCTACTTCTCAGGACGCCACTCAGGCAACATCACCAGAGAGTAAAAGCTCCCAAACCGTACAATATCAAGAGTTAATAAACTTCCAGAAACTCTCTAATAGAATAGGCTACAGAACCAGACTCCCTGGATTCAAATCCAGCTTCTCCATTTCTTGTGTTGCCTTGGACAAGTTACTTTACATTTGCAGGCCTCCGTTTCCCATCTGTACAGCAAAGATAATAATATCACCTATTCATAGAGCTGTGCGGATTAGACAGTCAATACATCAATACATAGAGACACTTTTAAATATTCTAGATGCATGCAAGTGTTCCATTAGTATTGGCTCCTCTTATTAAGTCCCTACCTTATCAATTTGCAGCAAGCCTGTCTCTTTACCGTGACTTCTAAAATTTGCACAGCACCCAGCGTTAACTGATGTAGCTTATATCCTGTGAACACCTGATAGGCAGAAAAGAGTCTCAAGCTGTAGCAAGGTGAACTTGCGGACCTATTCACCAGTAACTAGCTAACAAATATTAACGACTCCATTGTAAAAACAGATACATTTTGACTTACGATATGAAGGGTAAAGCCTCAATACGCCAACTCCATTTCCCTTGACTAGTAGCCCTCCATCCACATAATATGTGTGTTTACTGTAATGACTGACTAACTGCCTTTTGCGGAAACTGTCAGTATTCTGCATACACAGCATCTAGAAGGATTAAGCAGAACACTAGGGAATTAAAAGATAAAATTAAGTGAAAATAAAGAAAGAAATAGAAAGATGTGTTCTAAATCCCTAGAAAAGGGTTCTAGTAAACTTTCAGTCTTTTTCCCCCTTTTTTGTTAGACTAATATTAGAGTTCTGTCCTTTAACTGTCAAATGGTTTTCCAGCCTACAAGTAATCTTTCTTCACAGAGGAGTCTTTTAAAAGTTATAAATAAAATATCCCAAATACTTTCTTTTTCTCACAGATGAGAACATTGGAACACTGACATTTTAATCTGTTCTGTACAAGAACGAGTTGTGTCAACACAGTGCTCCCCGCTACAGCACTGAAAAAAACAAGTTTAATTAAAGACAGAGAAGAAACCACATATGGAGCCTAAGCCATTGAGATACAATGAAGAGTGTCATCTTCAGAGTCAGTTCTCTATGAACAAATCTCTTTTGTCAGTGTCAGGAGGGAAAAAAAAGACAGCAAAGTAAAGGTGTGCTGTATACCACAGGAAACTCTGCTCAATATTCTGTAATAACCTAAATGGGAAAAGAATTTGAAAAAGAATAGATACATGTATATGTATAACTGAATCAGTTTGCTGTACACCTGAAACTAACACAACATTGTTAATCAACTATACTCCAATATAAAATAAAAAATTTAAAAAAAAAGATGAATGGATAAAGATGTGGTGTGTATATATACAGTGGAGTACTACTCAGCTGTAAAAAAGAATGAAAACTTGCCACTTGCAGCAAGAGGGATGGACCTGGAGGGTATTATGCAGTTCATATTCTTATTATGAAATAAGTCAGAGAAAGACACTGTATGATATCACTTATATGTGGAATCTAAAAAAATACAATGAACTAGTGAATATAACAAAGAAATAGACTCACAGATACAGAGAGCAGACAAGTGGTTACCAGTGGAGGGGGGGAGAGGGGCAAGATAGGGGTAGGGAATTAAGAGGTACAAACTATCAGGTATAAAATAAATAAGCTACAAGGATATATTTTACAACAGAGGGAGTATAGTCAATACTTTACAATAACTATAAATGCAGCATAACCTTTAAAAATTGTGAATCACTATATTTTACACCTGTAACATATAATATTGTACATCAACTATACTTCAATGAAAAAATTAAGGGTACTTCCCTGGTGGTGCAGTGGTTAAGAATCTGCCTACCAGTGCAGGTGACATGGGTTCGATCCCTGGTCCAGGAAGATCCCACATACCGCGGAGCAGCTAAGTCCACGCACCACAACTATTGAAGCCGACGTGCCACAACTACAGAAGCCCGTGCACCTAGAGCCCGTGCTCCACGACAAGAGAAGCCACTGCAGTGAGAAGCCCACGCACTGCAACGAAGAGTAGCCCCTGCTCGCCGCAACTAGAGAAAGCCCACGCACAGCAACAAAGGCCCAACACAACCAAAACTAAATAATTTATAAAAAATA